CCGCTCCCATTGCCGTTACCGAAACCGGGCCCGCCGCCGGCGGTAGCGGGGCTGGATCGGCCGCTCCCGCTGCCGCTGCCGATACCGCTCCCATTGCCGTTACCGAAACCGGGCCCGCCGCCGGCGGTAGCGGGGCTGGATCGGCCGCTCCCGCTGCCGCTGCCGATACCGCTCCCATTGCCGTTACCGAAACCGGGCCCGCCGCCGGCGGTAGCGGGGCTGGATCGGCCGCTCCCGCTGCCGCTGCCGATACCGCTCCCATTGCCGTTACCGAAACCGGGCCCGCCGCCGGCGGTAGCGGGGCTGGATCGGCCGCTCCCGCTGCCGCTGCCGATACCGCTCCCATTGCCGTTACCGAAACCGGGCCCGCCGCCGGCGGTAGCGGGGCTGGATCGGCCGCTCCCGCTGCCGCTCCCGCTGCCGCTCCCGCTGCCGCTCCCGCTGCCGCTCCTGCTATCGGGCTGCGTGAACCCAGGCATGCNTGCTCCCACTGCCGTTACCGAAACGGGCCCCGCCGCCGGCGGTAGCGGGGCTGGATCGGCCGCTCCCGCTGCCGCTGCCGATACCGCTCCCACTGCCGTTACCGAAACCGGCCCCGCCGCTGGCGTTAGCGGGGCTGGATCGGCCGCTCACACTGCCGCTGCCGCTACCGCTCCCACTGCCGTTACCGAAACCGGCCCCGCCGCCGGCGGTAGCGGGGCTGGATCGGCCGCTCCCGCTGCCGCTCCCGCTGCCGCTCCCGCTGCCGCTCCCGCTGCCGCTCCTGCTATCGGGCTGCGTGAACCCAGGCATGCGTCCCTTGGTGCGGTTGACTCCCTCCATCCGGCGCTCGTCGCTCGCGTGAGCTTCTCCGAAGGACGTCGCCGTTGCTCCCGGTCCGCACCGGCTGTTGCCCATGTCGATGGCTGCCTGGCCAAGCAAGTTCTGGCCCGCCTTCCTCGCCTTTTCTTATTGAGAGCCTGCCCTCTCCGCGGCCTTGGCGTCTACCACCGCGATTAGCAGCTTCTCCTACGGCAAGGAGCAACATGACCCGACCCAGAACGGTGAAAGCGCGGCAAGACGAGCAGCAAAAGTCATGCACTGGGCTCTCGTTGCCCCATTTCCATATTCATTCCGACGTTTGCATACAGACTTTGTTGAATTTTTTCCTGGTTTTCGCGAAGGACAGCTCAACGCAGTCATGACATACAGGCAGAGGGCTACCCCGAGGGATCGTTGGCATCATAGCACCGAATTCCCTATCGACGTATATCACAGTAGGCTAACAAATTCGCAGTACAATTGTGCTTCACCGTTTAGCTTCTCACCAGCTTGGCTTCGTCTCCGTCGAGGTCGTCGCCGGAGGTATTCCCTACTCCCGATGCTCGTGCGGCGTCATTGTTCTTGGCGGTTTGGACGCGAACAAGTTGGTTGAAGCGCGACACCAAATTCTTTAAAGGCTTGTCCCCCAAAGCTCTCACTTGCGGCTCCGAGTTTGACTCTGCGTAGACTAATCCCCATCGGTCTTCAACTGTGCCGGTCACGCCGGCCATTCGCCAGGTCTTGTGTCTGACAGCTGCAGCGACAGGGAGAGCGAGATTGACAAATTAATATGCGAAGGAGTAGTTAGTGAGGAGCCCACAAGGCCGACGTCTTATCCGGAAACTGACATAACGCTCTTCCGACCAAACCCCATCCTGACGGATGCAACTGCTGTGGTGAGCGAGCATTAAAAAGCAGGCACACCGTGCAATGTGCTTTGGGTGTTACAGCAGTGTAGAATACTTGTTATCGCCACCTTGCTGTGCCACGGGACTTTGTATCCAGAGAACAACCTTTTCAATAAACTGCTGTGCGGCAACAGCAGTTGGGTGATAAGCACAAATCCTGTATGTTAAACCCCTTTTCAAGCAAGTGCATCTGCTCCACTGCTGTACAGCAGGTAGCGACGCAGGCGGGAGGGAGACATCCGAACTCGGCGCCGTCTGATATGGGGAAATTTAAAATTTAAAATTTGAAAAAGTAGTCAACTCAACACGAAAATCCATCAATCGACCTCATGTGGTCTTGCTTGCTTCCTCTGATGACCGCCAGCTTTTCTTCAAAACCGTGCTTTGCTTACTCAACGAATGTTCTCCACATCACCTTCCTTCAACCGAGTTAGAAAATATGCCGCCCTACATACGATGGCAGGGGATTGCACGAGGCACACACCCAACACGCCGCGGAACCTGTCGTCCTACCGGACTGCTGTGTTCATGCTGCGACGAGCCACATGAAAAAAGGCATGTATGTTCGACTCACAAGCGAAGCCACAAGCTTCGGACCTACTACTTACCCAGCGACGGGTCCACTGCTACACAGCAACCGGATGCTACAGCATGTAACAGGTGGCACCCATGGGATGAGCGGCCATGCAATATGCTGTATCGTGTTCGGTGGGTTGCCCATGCATACGCGTGCCACCTTGCATACATACGTAGACTACCTGTAGGTCCGGTGGGTGCAAACGTGCACACACTCACCGGAAGTAAGAAGCATCAGGTCCTGTCCCGTGTTCCACTTCCCCGAGTTTGTCTTCCTACCTGCTGCGGTCTTGTTGCCCGCGGGTCCACGCTCGATGGTTTGGGCACAGCTACCACTTCATCGTCGAAGCCCTCCAACTGCACCGGGGTCTCTTCTCCACCAAACCTCGCCACCTTTTGCGCGTGCCCATCGCCTGCCGCCCTGAAGGACGGGCGCTCGGAGTTTTCTGCGTCCCTACGCGCCGCCGCCTTGCGGGAAGCCTCTAGGGCCAAGCCCTTTTCCGTGTGGGTGACGG